CTTCTCTTTCCCCCTCCTCCTCCCCCAATTTTAGCTCTTTCTCAGAGGACCTACCCACACCTACTCAGCCAGAAAGGGGAAATTAATCTCTGACCCCATCATCTAGCCACAAGTGATTAGACCAATGGTAGATATCTGCCTAAAGAATTCCTTCATGCACCTATGGATGAGGACAGTGGGTGGGGAGTGAGGGCAGAGGGTGGGGTGGGAATTGGGTGGAGGGGAGTTATGGGGGGGGAAAGAGGAACAAATGTAATAATCTGAACAATAAAGATTTAATTTAAAAAAAGAAAAAATAATAAACAAGAAGTTGTCAGAAAATATATCCATATAGGTCCCATGTCATGTACCCTTCATTCTGTTTCTCCCAATAGTGATGTCCTATATAACTACAGCACAATATCAGAGCAGGTACTTCACATTGGTGCTATTCACAGAGCTTATTCAGATTTCGACAGTTTTATCTGCACTCATGTGTGTGTGTGTTGCTTATAAAATTTTATTATACATATAGATTTGTGTAACTACCACCACAATGAAGACAGAACTGTTCCATCACCACAAGTCTTCCTCTTATTATTCTTTTATTGTCACAGTGTGCAGCTTGCCTTTTCCTTTATGAGAGTCCTTAGCAGTGCAAAGACTTTTTTTAAATTGATGAAGCCAATTTATCAATTTTTCCTTTTATGGGTTGGGCTTTTTGTGCCCAAGTCCAAAAACTCTTCTCTTGACCCTAGGCCCCCAAGATTTTCTTCTATTTCTCTAAATATTATATAGGTTTATGTTGTACATTTAAGTATATGATCCATCTTGTTCTAATTTTTGCATAAGGTGTGAACTGTAGGTCAAGGTTCTTTTTTTTCCCCTATGGATGTCTATTTGCTGCAACACCATTTGTGAAAAGGCTATCCTTCATCCATCATCCGCCCCCCCAATACAACCCCTCCTAAAAGAAGGATCCAGGAACCAGCACATGCCCAGCTCTGGGGGGTGTCTGGCAGACTTGCCTAGAAGATGACTGTCTTGGGCTGCAGAGCGGGAAATGGCAGCGGGAAGGAAGCAGGGAGGGGAGGCCAGCACAGAAATACAGGCCTCCTCTCTGAATGGCCCTCGTATTGTCTTCCTAAACCACTATATCTGTGCATGTCTCATTACAGTTAGACCTAACGCAGCCCCATCTGCACACCCACCTGGACCCCAGATCCTTGGGCACATACCTCACATGTTTGTGAGGCTCGTTTATCTGTGAAACAAAGTTAATGTTTCTGGTGGAGGCTTGAACTGGCCCAAAAGACTGTTGTCTGAGCTTGGTGTCACTAAATATTTGTTGAATAATTGATGCCCATTTAACAAATTTTCTTCAATTGTTGAGAACTCCAAAACTTATGCAGGGCAAAATGTCTTTTTATGTTAACTCTAGCCTATGATTGCAGTGGGATTTATGAAAAGTGCCATCTCTATAGCTGAGGATGAAACTTGGAAGAGAATTCGAACATTGCTATCTCCAACCTTCACCAGTGGAAAGCTCAAGGAGGTAAGAGTATAAGAGGATATTTAATTTGAAATTTAAAGAATGCATCTGGGGACAGGTAGAAAGTAAGATCATTTCTTTCCCAGGGTAGCCTGCTGAATTTGAGCTTCCTAATAATGGTCTTTTATCTTTATGTCCTAGAAGTGACAATATAAGATTCATTATAAGATATCACTTACTGCTCCATGCTTGAGAAAGCCAGGTCTTCTAGTACTCGAGTCTTCCCACTTAACTGCGGGTGTTGTTGTGTTTTGTGTCTAGATGTTCCCCATCATTGGCCAGTATGCAGATGGGTTGGTCAGCAACCTGAGGAAGGAAGCAGAGAAAGGAAAACCCATCAACTTGAAAGAGTAAGTAGAAGGCCAGCTGCTGGGATTTGGAGCTCGTCAAGACACACCCCCCTGCCCCCTTCCCCAGCTGCCTGCCAGAGCCCAGTTGCCACTGAATTACTGTAATGACCAGATAGAAGTAAGTGTGTGGTGTTAGAACTCCAATGGGCTACCCAAGAGGATGTGGCTCCTCCAAAAAGCAGGGCAGCCAGGAGAGAAAGATCTTCTCCTGTGTACATGAACCAGGATTAATTTGTCTGCTTACTTGTCACCTTGGATATTCCTGAAGACAAAAATACATAGTTTAGAAAGTAGAAACATGATTGCACCAAAGTTTTCAGTGTAGAGGAGGTGAAATACTGGCAGAGGAAGGCACTGGTATGTATTAGTGAGCAGTGGGTGGAGGAGAGAAATTACAATGTAGAACTTGGAACAACTTCATGATTTTGGTGAGGATACCAGCAAAATATGAAATATTAAACCTTCCCACCACTTCTCCTTTCTTTAGTCTCAAATTAAAGAATGTCCTGTATAGACTATGGGTAGGGTGAGCATGCCACTTATTGTCTAAATTAAGATATGTTTAACTATGCAGGAACAACACAGGTAAAGTGGGACTGATCTGGGGAAACTGGGGCCATATGATCACTTACCTATGGGATTCCCTCAAATAGATTTTGGGGTAATTTTTTAATTATTTC